TTTTGCAAAACAGGCAAGAGAACAAAGTCCATCTGAGAACTTTAGAAAATAGTTGAGGTCATCAGGAAAAAAGGCATCTCGTGATCAAGTCACTTCCTTTCTGCCTAAGTTATTTCACAAACAGTCAATGAATCAACTGAAGTGGGAATTATATCTGCTGCTTAGACTGGTTTAGACTTGGTCATAAATCAAAGCAAGCACTGAGAAATAACCCTCTTAACCTTGCTCACAGAACGTTAACTTTCCTTATTATTTTTCCCCCAAAGAACCTATCCTCGTCCACATGAATATTTGGATATCTCTAAGTTGCCCAAGAGTTGGGACTGGAGAAGCAGAGATGGAGTCAATTATGCGAGCACCACTCGAAACCAGCACATCCCCCAGTATTGTGGATCATGTTGGGCTCACGGCAGCACCAGTGCCTTTGCAGGTATGGGATACCTACTAGTTATACTTTCCTCTGAGCATTGAGAATCACAAGTCTTCCTCCCTCCTAAGGGAGGAAATGCATAGATTTTTAAAAAAATCTTAGTCACTACACCTCACATCACAATCTGCCTTTCAAATCAAATTAAGTGTTTTCATTTGAAAGTGTGGTATGCCTTTTGAGGTTGGGCAATACTGTATGAGAGCTGGAGAGCTTATTCATTGGCGTTATCTCTGAGTTAGTTGTGTAGTTCTCTGCCTCCTGATTGAAGGCAAGGTCTCCTTCAAGCTGAGTTCAACTCCTGGTAATTTCACATCCACATGTCCCAAAGTTGCTGTTTTACAAGGCAACTGGACTTTCTTGTTCTTCTTTGAAGACGTTTTGCTTCTCATCCAAGAAGCTTCTTCAGCTCTGATTGGACGGTGGGATTCTTCCATTCCCCACCATCCAGTCAGAACCGAAGAAGCGAAACATCTTCAAAGAAAAACAAGAAAGTCCAGTTGCCTCTTGAAAAAGCAACTTTGGGACAACCATGACCTGGATGACTGAGAATCTCCACAGACATTCAGATCCACATCCACATCGCTTTCTTAGATAGCGCCACGGTGGTGCAGTGGTTAGAATGCAGTATTGCAGGCTAATTCTACTACTGCCAGCAGTTCGAGTCTCACTGGCTCAAGGTTGACTCAGCCTTCCATCCTTCCGAGGTCAGTAAAATGAGGACACAGATTGTTGGGGGCAATATGCTGATTCTGTAAACCACTTAGAGAGGGCTGTAAAGTATTGTGAAGCGATATATAAGTCTAAAAGCTATTGCTATTGCTTTCTTAGCGGTAGCATGGAAGCCATTTGTCACTGTCATCTTTTTTTTTCAACCCTGTTTTAGCCTCTTACTTACCTTACCTAAGTACTAATCAGGTTCAACACTGCTCAAGTTCTCAGCCCAGGTTTTGTCATATTAAACGGCAATGGACAATGGGAAATTATTGTGATAAAGGACTAAATTGGCCAGAATGGTATTATTGAAGAGAAAAATGAAAGAACAGTTGAGATTTAAAAGGGAAGGAATTCATGTGGTCACTTTATGGAGCAAATAGCAGGTTTCTAAGATCCATTTTCATTTTTGTATTGAAATGTAAGGTCTGGTACAAAATAGTGGGTGGCAGTTAGGGAAAAAGAAACAGAGGATCACTTACTTGTCTCCTGTATCTCATGAATCAGACATGGACAATCTGTACTCCATGACTAGGTTTGAATTAAGTCATAGATTAATGTATTACAGATTGCAAACAAATCACAATAAAAGTGGTCTGGGTTGGCCCGACATAGGAAACCACAAACCGTGGCTGAGTTCAGAAAACACACCAAGCCAAAGTCAATCAAAGAAAAATATGCACCGATGATGTTACCTAGTTGGGTAATGAAATGTTTGCAAGAAAACAACCAAGCTCAGAGAGCACCCAAGGACTTCAAAGAAAAATATTTTGGCTTAGCACGTTGTGGGAACTCGGTCTAGTGGCTTAGAAGGGTTACAGTTTTTGTTACTTTCAAAGCTTATTTCTCTCTCTTAGATCGCATAAATATCAGGAAGAAAGGTGCCTGGCCCTCGGCGTATCTCTCTGTTCAAAATGTGATTGACTGTGCCAATGCTGGATCTTGTGAAGGTGGGGATGACAGTGGCGTGTGGCAATATGCTCATGAACACGGCATCCCGGATGAAACATGCAACAATTATCAAGCTAAAGACCAAGGTATGTATGATCAGAGCACAAAGGGAAGGGAATTTTAACCATCCACCATTTGTATCAGCCTTGCAATGGATGCAAACATTTACTAGCCCACATACCTCATCTACTAGCATGAGCCTGTGATCGTTACTTCTAAGGAGTGGTAATAACGATCACCCCAATTTCGCAAAGGGTGAAAATTTCAGAATATTTTCTCCAACAAGATATTTTGCCAATGTCTTGGACATTGTTTTTCCCCTAACAAACTCATTGGACAGCTATATTAATGGTCACTAAAAAATAAATATATTTTGTTGATCTTGGAGAATGTAACTGAACAACCTTGCTAATACGTCCACAAAGGTTATGACCTACAGAGAGTTTGGCTATTAGCTCACAAATGTCTGTGTTCCAAAGATGTCTTTTCATGAGGCAACTGGACTTCCTTGTTTTTCCTTTGAAGACGTTTCGCTTCTTATCCAAGAAGCTTCTTCAGCTCTGACTGGATGGTGGGGAATGGCAGGATTTATACTCCTTGCAGACAGCTGGTCATTTGCATTCTTTTAGAGAGTCGCTGAGGCCACCTGGAGGCTTATCTGTGTCTTCAGGGTCACCTGAGTTGTGTAAATGGATATGGAGCCTTCTTGGAACTGTTGAAAGGAATGTGTTGTAGACTGGAGATAGATGATGGCGTATCCCTCCCCCTCTGTTGATCTGGATGACTGAGAATCTCCATAGACAAATGTCTGTGTTGTTTACGTAAGCCCCTTCCCAATTGCCTGGAGTTAGTTCATATCCATTATAGGTAGCCATGCTGATTACAAAACTGCCCTCAAGCACATAAAACATTGAATGTACATTGAGCTGCTTCATAGTGAATTTAGAAGGAGTGCAGCAACATGATTATACTGTGGAAAGAAATTTTGGTACTGTGCAACCATCCCTTCCACCCAATGCCCTTCTTCATTTAAATTACAGGCAGTCCTCGACTTACAGTCGTGATTGAGCCTAGAATTACAGTCGTAAGTTGTGGTGGTCATTGAGCAGGTCACCATGCCCAATTTTACAACCTTTTTTGTGGGAGTCATCAGGCAAACAGGACGGTTGTTTAAGAAAGTTTATTTTCCTCAGCGAGTGTTTTTTGTTGGAAACCGGAAGTAAATGTGAAAGTACAGGTGTTCCTCGATTGGCAAATGACTAAAATTTCAACGGCACTGAAAAATGTGACTCTTTTCCACACTTGTGACTGATGTAACCTCCCCATGGTCACATGATCAAATTTCGGACACTTGGCAACTGGCATGTATTTCTGATGGATCCCCTTTTGCGACCTTCTGGCAAGCAAAGTCAATGGGGAAGCCAGATTCATTTAATAACCATGTTACAACTGCAGTGATTCACTAAACTACAATGGCAAGAAAAGTAGTAATATGGGGCAAAATTCACTTAACTGTCCTGCTTAGCGACTGAAATTTTGAACTCAATTGTGGGTCGTAAGTTGAGGACTACCTGCAGTAGGCTATCTGTTTCCATTTATCTTGTGCAATTATTTTTGAAGCATGCAAGAAATTTAACCAATGTGGAACATGCACAACCTTCGGGGAATGCCACGTGATAAAAAACTACACCCTCTGGAAAGTAGGAGATTATGGCAATGTGAGCGGTCGAGAGAAGATGATGGCGGAAATCTATGCAAATGGACCAATCAGGTACGGGAGTGGGCGTACATTTTATGGCTCAGAATGATTCGTTTAATTTTTCTTTCCTTCCCAGGGGGTGTGGCTAGTGAAGTCATGTGATTGAAGTAGGTGTGGATAGCGATGTTGGTTCAGTGGAGGAAAGGAAATTATTTAAAGTCATGTTTCCTACCTTTGGCAACTTTAAGATGTGTGGACTTCAACTCCCAGAATTCCTCTGCTACCAATAGGAAAAGCCTCTCCCATTATCTTATTTATTTAAGTCCCTAAAGGTGGAGTCTAGTAGCGCTGTCTGGTACTAATGTCCAGTGTGGGGGTGGGGGATGGAATTTGGCCTATTTTGTCCTATCCCCCCAAAAAACAGCATTAGGACTTTGAGGGCATTCATGGACCATGTATGGGGAAGACTGTATAGTCTCCCATTGATGAGCTGCTCAAACCTGAGATAGAGGTTATACCTCAATAGAAATGCATAGGTTCAATTTCTCTTCTAGGTGTATTCAAATCCATGATTGGCTCACAGCGAGTGTTATTGTGCATGATGTGTTACTTGAGCCCACCTAGCTAATTTTGAAACTAGTTGGGAACTCTTCACTTCTGTGATAACTGCACCCATTTCAGCCTTGTTTGCTTTGCTAGCCTTCTAATTTCCTGTAATTGAAACAGTTGTGGGATCATGGCTACCCCAGGCCTGGACAACTACACCGGAGGAATTTATGCTGAATATCACTCTGAAGCTTTCATCAACCATATTATCTCTGTGGTTGGTTGGGGTGTGGAAGGTGGAACTGAATACTGGATTGTCCGCAACTCGTGGGGAGAGCCGTGGGTAAGCAGAAGCAAGATCTTTCTTTTAAGAAAAAAAAAATAAGAGAAGCAAGATCTTTCTTTTAAGGAAAAAAAAAAGAAAAGCAAGATCTTTCTTTTAAGGGAAAAAAAATAAGAGAAGCAAGATCTTTCTTTTAAGGAAAAAAATAACTTGAGGGTTGTTAGAGTGATATGTTTCACTTCAGGGTAGAGGTTGTTTTTAATCTTTATAAACTCTTCCAAGCTCTTGGTTGTCACCTACGGAGACCTGCAAAAGTTTTAAGCAAACAATAATTCTGAATGTGACAAAAGGGGGAAATGCTTAAATACATGCCAAGAAAGTCAAGATACAGCAAATTTAAATGAAATTAAATGTTTTAGTATTTGATCTGATCTCCATCAGGGCATGTTAGTGTGTGATCTCAGTACAGCACTAAAACACCAGCTTTTGTCTCTTGAATGAGAAATTCTTAGTAGCATAGACACCAGAATGCAACTGTAGATAGGTGAGGAGCAGGGATGTCCACAAAGGTGGGGGGGGGGGTGTATATTATGAGTGTGCAAAAACTGAAGATGGCAGTTGTGATCACAAAATCCAAACCCACTCCAGAAAGAGGCATGGCCTTAATCACGATTAAAAGGCTATCTTGACATTTTCACACCCTCATCCCCTCTAGTGAGAAGTTCTTGCATTGGTGGAAGAGCCGTTGATTATCCTGTGATACAAGAGCAGAATTCTTTGGCAAGACAGAAATTTAAATCCATACGGGATCTATAAATGTAGCCCTGACTTGGCCCACCACTACCTTGCATTAGCCCTAGTGCTGCTTTAATTAATTCCTGCAGGATTCTTCTCCATGTTAGTTGCATTCAATGATTCCTTAAGTAACAAAGATGTTCCTCTGAATTTCACAAATGCCTTTTTATGAAAAGAGCGTGGAAAATATAATACGAGGAAATGGAGTTATTGGGCAATGCTGGAATTTGAGAACTTTTGTAGAGCCAGATGATGGGTCTGTTTAGGCCAGGAGTAGGCAACCTTGGCTCTTTTAATGACTTGTGGACTTTTCAACTCCTAGAATTCCTGAGCCAGCCATGCTGAGGGGAAAGGGAGAGGTTTCCAAGCTGAGCCATGCTGGCTCAGGAATTCTGGGAGTTGAAGCCCACGAGTCATAAAAGAGCCAAGGTTGCCTACCCCTGGTTTAAGCCAATATTATCTCCTGAGTAGCAACCAAGTTTCAGGGTTTCCCAGCTCCTCGTGACTATGTTAAGCACTGAAACTGAAAGAAGCCACCAGGAGAGATGGCAGGACCTACTTTATCCGCTGTATTGCTTAAAGAGGACCTTCAGAATGATATTCCCGTCCCCATGGACACCAGATCTCCTCACAACCATACTGGTGGAATTGTGGTCAAGGAGAGCTATGCAATTCAAATGCAGCAATGCTGTCAGACTCAAAACCAAGAATGGCCCATATTGATTCTTCCAAGCTGATTTCTTTATTGTTTCATGCCCATAGACAAAAATCTTGCCAGACTAAAGACTCTGCCATCTGCTTCTACGATATTCTTTGTGAAATATTAGGGAGGGACTTTCTTCATCTTCTTTCTCTCACACCAGAACATCTGGACTGAGTTGCCTCTTACTCCTCTGGAATGCAACCTCTCCCTCCCAGGGATCCACTTCCTTACTGCGTTCCATCACAAAAGCAATAGTCTGAGCAAGGGAGGCACAAGGAGATCAGGTCTTGATCCCAGTTCATCTGGGTATTCCGGCTCACCATCAAAAGATAGGGAACAATGGGGCAGATCCTGCACCACTGCATTGTTGGCACCTTTTTCTCAAGTCCTTGCACAATCAAGGCTTAAATGGCATTTTTGGAACAGAGCTGTAAAATGAGAACAAGGGTTGGGCCAGAATTCTTTGTGATGTGCCTTATGTTCGTAATTCCAGGGCGAAAAAGGATGGCTGCGCATCGTGACAAGTACATATAAAGGCGGGAAAGGAGCAGACTATAATCTGGCTGTTGAAGAAATGTGCACATATGGAGACCCCATTGTACCTTGAATTCTATTGCAAGAATTCAATTTTTCAGCCAGTTGTTTATTTTTGAAAGGGAAAATTGCTTTCTGCAGGATGGCTACACATGGACTGATAATTAAACTGAGATTTCAATCTTCTTTTTTAATTAAAGATTTTGCATAAACTATCAAAATGAATGTACTGATTGCGCTGAGAAAACCTGGCACTGTTTTTCAAATGGAAGTGAGCTGTGATTTAACCTTGACCCTTTTCAGTCAGGGTTCAGGCCAGATTATGGGACTGAGACTGCATCTAAGTGCTCTTAAATGACCTCTTCTGGGAGTGGGTGGGGGTGGGGTGTCCCACTCCCAAAAGCATAGAATCAAAATCACACCTCAACACCCTTCAATACCATCAATTATGGCCACCTTCTAGACGGGCTTCGAAAGTTGAGGATGAGTGGCACTGTCTTGGCTTGGTTCTTCTCCTTCCTCTGGGGTCAGTTCCAGTTGAAGTTGGGGGAGGGGGAAGATCTAGCCCACAGCCCCTACTGCGTGGGATGTCCCAGGGCTCAGTTCTCTTTTCTCTCCTAGTTCACACACACGAGGCCGCAAGGTGAGGTAATCCAATGGTTTGCGGTAAGATATCAATATGAATATACCCAGCTTTCAATCTCCACTCTGGACTGCCTGAACGATGCCATGGATTTCCTGTCTCAATGCTTGGAAGCTGTAAGGGTCTGGATGAGGTGCAATGGGCTAAACAAGACAGAGTGGCTTTGGGTATTTGGGTAGCACTTGGTCTTATGGCTCCCTCTAGAAAAGCAGGTGGCAGCATGGCCAGGAGGGCCTTTACACAATTTAGGGCAGACATGTCAAACTCGCGACGTCACGTGACGTCGTGCAACGTATCGGCATGGTTTTGCCATTGCTGGCAATGGGGTGGCCGCAGCTTCTGGATGACGCATCCAGCCTGCGGGCCGGCAGTTTGACACCCCTGCCTTAGGGTGATGTGCCTGCTGTGCCTGTTCCTGGATTGGGTGGCTTTGCTCACAGTCACTCATGCCCTCTTCTGCACTGAGCTTTACATGGAGCTGACCTTGAAGTGCCTACTGAAGCTTCAATTGGTAGAAAATGCAGCTGCACTGGGAAGAAACGGTATCGGATAGTCAACATATATAACACCAATGCTTTGTGAGTAGCATTGGTTACCAGCAGTGTTTCCAAGTGCAACTCAAGGTACTGGTGATCACCTTAGAAGCCCTACATGGTTTGGGGCTGGGTTACCTTAGGGACCATCTTCTCCCAATCATTTCTACCCAACCAGGCAGGCAGGTTGGTCCCGTTAGTCAAGGAATGTCAGCTGGCAGAAAGCAGATGTGCCTTCTCTGCCTTCCGGAAGATTCTTCCTTCAGATATCAGGATGACCCCAACCCTGTTGGCCTTTCACAACTGCTGGCCTTCACACAACTGTAAAATTGTGTGTCCAGGCTTGGAGACCAAATGTGTTAAGGACCCCATTTCCTGGCTGTGTTAACATCCATAGTAACAAGTTTTACTTAGTGCAATATATATTTTGTACTTTTAAATTATTTTAATGTTTTATAATGTATGCTACCCAGAGTCCACTTGTTGAGATGGGCAGCTATAGAAATAAAATAAATAAATAAATAAATAAATAAAACAATCATGTTTAATTCTTTTTGAAATGTGTAACATTTGGGGGCAGATTTCTTAAATTATTTTATTATGTGAAACTAATAAGGATGTCAAATTTCCTACTCTCTGTGGCAAATGCATAGACTAAACCCTAGGCAGAAAGGCAACCATTCAAAGTTTCATTTGCGTCAAAACAAGTGACTTATGTCCGGTCCACTGCACTTAACGACCCCGACATCCTCATGGTCAGGTGATCAAAATTTGGACATTTGGCAACTGACTCATATTTAAGACGGTTGCGCTGTCCCTGGGTCATGTGGTCGCTATTTGTGACCTTCCCAGCTGGCTTCTGATAAGCAAAGTCAATGTAGGAAGTCAGATTCGCTTAATAACCATGTGATTCATTAAAAACCTTCGGTGATTTGCTTAACAACCATGGCAAAAAAAATGTAAAATTGGGCATGACTCACTTAACAACTGCCTTGCTCAGCAATGGAAATTCTGATCTAAGTCGAGGATTTCCTGTGGGTTCCCCCCCCTTTTTCAGTTAACCAGAACTACGTGCTCCATCCCTCCTCTCACCCCAGATCAGATTCTTTAATGTTTTATGTATTTATGTGGTGCCTTCAAGTCAGTCTTGACTCTTAATTACCTAGAAAAGTTTCTGAAGTTTTCAGTGTTTTCAAAAGCGTTTTGCCATTGCCTCCTTCCTAGGGCTGAGAGAGAATGACTGGCCCAAGGTCACTCAGCTGGCTTTGTGCCTAAGATAGGACTAGAACTCAGTCTCCAGTTTCTAGCTATACTACTGAACTTGCAAAGTACATGTCATACACTCTGGCTCATAAGCCATTTAGTTAGGATCAACAGACCCAGTGAGTTCAGTAACACTACAGTTCAGTGGTTCTCAACCTGTGGGTCAGGACCCCATTTGGCGTTGATCGACCATTTCACGGGGGTCGCCAAGCAAGGCTGTCTGCCATTTTTTTTGTCCGCCATTTTTTCCCCTTTTCCGGCGGGTGCCTTACCTCCCTTGGGCTGGGCCAGCTGGTGGTCGGCCTGCTCCGTCTCTGCCGCTTGCCAGCTACGCCTCAGCCGGCGCAGGGGGCGGAACCACGCATGTGCGGCGCTCCCGGGCAGGGAAAGTCCTCAACTTACGACCGGTTGGGTAGTCCTCGACTTACGACCGGTTTAGTCCTCGACTTACGACCGGTTTAGTCCTCGACTTACAACTGGTTGGGGTCGCGGCATTAAAAAGGTTGAGAACCACTGCTATAGTTCAATGTTTTGGGTAAACCCAGCTAATATATGAAAAAAACTGATGTCTATTTTTCTACCCGCTTATTAAAAACTATACCAGTATATCATCTTTTCAGTATTTTCCATCAGTGTTGTTGGTCTTGCAAATTGAAACAGTGAACACTACAATCCACAGGCGCAACAATTTTTACTCAAAAGGAAATTTATTAAAAATTACAAGCTGTCACACTTCTCACTCATCTGATATGTAGCGAGAAGACATGTCTGAAAAGTTACATGTTATTATACTGTATATGCTATGCATTTAGAGAAATGTAACAGCACATATATATATATATTTCCCTCAAAGTAATGAAACTTACTGATAATGGTTAATATTTTAATTATTTTCTCCTAAAAGAACACTACCTGTGTTTCTTTGCTAGGGTTCACAAACATAAACATTTGTGATGCACAAATGATTTTCTTTTTTTAAAAAGAATTCAGAACTGGAATGCAACAGATACTAAGCATAGGTCTGTTTCTCAACAATCATCCATGATGGTGGATTTACAAGCTGCAATGTTATAAAGACATTGTAAGGAGGTTTATCCAGACTGAGGTCCACCAAAGGATAGGATTGGGAGACCCAACATATGTGAGGGTGCCCTGATTGGAGAAAGTTTGCGAACGGGTGTTTTCAGATGGGGCATATCTGATAAATATTTTCACCAGATGTTTATAAGATTGTCAAGAATGAGAGCAAGTATGAGAGACTAATGCACTGCTTTTCCAGTCTACAAAACTGACTGGAATACAGCCAGAGAGTGGAGAGAATTCATAAGACGGTGTCAGCTCTACCTACTAGAAGTAACCAGTCATACACTACACAATGAATTTCTTAAGAATATCACTGCTGTCATACTTTACTAGGTCATATATTTGGAGCAAGCAACCATCTTTTCAGTTCTTCAAGAGGACCAAGGTTTGAAGTAGTGACAACCTGTGCCAGTAATTGCTTTCTACACAAATAAAACTGGCCAGTGTAAGTTCCTACTTAACTTGAAACCTATCAGCAAACCATTTGAATTTCTTTATGCAGCACGAAAGAGGCCTGGTCACCAGTGTCTTCTGGATGCGGAGTTCCTCTCCTAATTCAGCTGACCATGATGAAATTCGATTTGCAGTGAGCTTTAAAGAAAACAAACAAGACAGGTTGACTTGGAGTAGAATTTATGTGCCTAAATCTTTTGATTCAAATGGAAAGCAGGGTCTGACTGTATGCATTCTTTTAACACTTTAATCCATTCTTGTAAAATACTCTCCAGTTCTCCATAGTCACATACAATACAGTATAATATAATATATCTCAGTGTCTGCTGGAGTGGGCAGCTGTAATAAATTTAATGAAATAAATCTATTTTCATAGCACACTCTTACAATTGCTTATGCCACAAAAGTTAACCTTTTAACATGTCATTTGATTGTACCAACTGTTGAATTTTACTGATCTGCACCTCTGTAGCTTAGACCAGTGTTTCTTAAACTTTTTTTCCTCCCACTTTTGAAAATTATGGAGGACCCCAAAAGATCTTTTTGTTCATATGGGTTATATTCATTGATACTTATCGTATTAAAAATTAAAATGGATGCATTCATTGTTGCTGCTGTTTCTCACAAATGTTTGATGAGATTTTAATATTGTAGGCTGGCAAGTAACTTTGATTTCCAGGACCCCTGAGACAGTCTTGGGGGACCCCCAGAGGTGGTTAGACAACACTTTAAGAAATCCTGTCTTAGACCATAGAGTAATACAGCTCTTCTTCTACCAGCTCAGCCTTAATTTAAGATGCTTACATGTCTTCAGAGGTATCCAGAGTCAAAAGTCAAGATAGAAGCCTTGAAAGCATGATTGAACGCCCTTCCCTTTTTAATGTGCATTGCATGCAGAATTTAATTGCAGCATCATGGCCCCCATCTTGGACTTTTTTACTGTGGAAACACGGGTTCTGTGCAGGTTTTCCTGCAGTCCAGCAAACACCTTGAAAAAATGCCAGGAACTCCAGGGACAGACCCTGTTGTACAGTCTGTAATACCCATTCGTCCGTGGTGGTGAACTCCCACCGATGGAAAAAATGGGACAGCCTGCCTCCGATGGGAAGGGCGATTTGGGAGTCACTTGGACTTCTTAAAGGGTCGACCTGTTCCACGAAATGGTCGCCTATTTTGTGGCTGTTGTCTAGACCGAAACCCAGTTCTGTCGAAGGGGCGGTCGTATGTGCGATCCTGTCTAGGCACGAAGGGTCAAAACGTCTGGGCTGCTGTGGAGCCCGTGTGTTGC